TTTTTTTTTTTTTTAAATCATTGTCTTCCTTTTCCACCCCCTAATATCACTGATACTTTTTGTAATAAAAACACAACACCCAAGGGCTACTCGACCCTGCATGGTAGGGACCCCAGCTATCTAACGATCAAATTTGGTTCAAACGTAGTCGTTCGATTTCTGGCGCGTTGGTTATCAACGGTCCAGATCAAGGTTTTGCTTGGGCAATCTTTTGAATTTGATCCAACAGTCCAAATTTTTTTTTTTAAAAAAATCCAACGGTAAAAAAAGATCTAGCGATTGAAATTTAAATTCATCAGTCCAAATAATAGAAAAAATATTTTAAAACAGATCCACTTTAAAAAAGTACATAATTTCAACTCATGATGAATCCATTTATTTCCCATTTCCTTCAACTCATGATGAATCCATTTATTCCCCATTTCCTTCACGACTCCAACTCCTGATGAATTCATTTATTCCTCATTTCATTCACGACTCCAAAGGTGGTTCGGTAGATTAATACAAAGCGTGTGATGCACATTTGGAAAGTGAATTATGTGAAGTCTAGTTTTATTGTTTTGCTTTCCTAGTCAAATGTTGTAAATTGTATCACACATGCTATAATTTGATTTAGGATTTAATTGCTATTTTGGGATCATACTGCTAGAAATATCACTTCAAGTCCTTAATTTCTTTCATAAAGGTTTGTTAATACATACGCATTTTATGCCATTATTTTCAGTTCGTTCTGTCTAGTGGTTCTGTCTGGTCAAAACTTCTCACTGCTTTCACGCGAGTTGGGTACACACTTTAAGACAACCCACATGAGCTTTCTAATAGTCTTTTTCTCGAGAGTGGTTTTCAACCCTTGATCTTTTCAGATTGTGTTTGCATATGAGACGTGTCTCTTCTTGTCCTATTTCTTGTCTGAAACAAAGCCTACTATAAAATCTTCATTTAGGGTTTCATTTTCAGTTGGTTAGGAGATTTATCTATTTTTTTAAATGATTGTTTTCAGCTGGGAGCTGCTTTTTTGTTCTTACTTGAAAATCGTAGCCACAAAATCATATTCATGCACTAGATACCCAGATCATTGCGTATTAGGGTTGCATTATTTTTGTAATTTTGATCTTTGTTTTAGGTTAAGTTTCTCTAGTTTCAAATTTTTGAGCTGACCTCTTTTTGGATTCCCGTCAGTTTCATCTTTCAAGTGTTTGATTGGTGAATCTGATTAGGCATCGAATCCTGATTTGCATCAACTTCATCATAACATCATTTGCATAAGTTGATTTGATTTCGGTGTCACAAGGTGAAGAGCTGAGGAGGAGCTGCCTCTTCATTGAGAGGAGTCCATCTCGTGAAAGGCAAGGTTGCACAAAGGTACAAACTGCTCCGTAGATTAGGATCTAGGAATTGAGCTTGGGGGGTTACTTTGTAAGAATATTGATTTCACTAGTGGATTGGACTCAGTGGAGAATCCTTGATTTTTTTAACCCAAAGGTGGGGTTTTCCAGCCAAAAACATCATGTGCAATTTATCGCTTTTCTGGTTTACTTATCTTACCATTTGCTTGTGTTATATGTTCGTCATTATTTGCAAAGAGATAAGTCCATGCAACTAAGATTGTCAAAGTTAAAATGTGCACTAAAATGGATCTTAGTTAACTAGGAACAATTTAGTAAACTGAGCTTTAATTTAATTTCTTCCGCTATGAGTAAACTAACATATTTGATATTAATTTATGAGTGTTGTTGACTAGTCAGACAAGCACGTATATGGATTTTAAATTGCAGGTTATTCCACCTGGTACCAATTTTAAATTCTACTATGGTAGTCTTGTATAGTTTGCCTGTTTTGGTGTGTGTATATTGAAGTTTGGTTGATTGAATTGTTGGTTGGAAAAAAAAAATCCTTACTGAAAAAGGACTAGGGTTACAACCATTTAAAATTAATATATTTTACGTCTGACTTATTGGGTGATATTTACTGTTTAAAGACCTTAATTCTGTCTTTTAATGGACCTTAATAATTGAGTTTGGGTCCAACTGTTGGAATTGGTCTTAGACATAGTTTTGAAGAAATGAGAGGTTTCCTTGGTTCGATTCACCTCGAGATTTCAGACAACAAATACATAATTTCAATGCGCAGTTAAGCAAAGAAACCTGCTCTGAGGCCATGTTAGTGTTTATGTGTATGTATGTGTGTACGTATATGATTTATGAAAGGATTTGAACAAGATTGAGGTATTTCCTCTTTGGATTTCTGGGAATGAAGAGGAAGATGGCAGAGAGAATTGTCAAAGAATGTTCTTTGCACTCATCATCACAGATAGTCAATGACCGTTACAAAAGACGAGAGCTTTGAAATATTATAGAAGGAAAAAAATTCTCTCTTCCCCATGAGAGACTTTCTCACCGTCGCGTGAGTGATATTCATTCTCTTTGATCCGCGTCGATGCTGGCCCTAACTTTGGTTAGAGTCGGTACCAGTCCCATGTTTTTTAATGCATGTTTTGTTTCAGTGGTTTGCTTGGTTTCAGTTCTTTCTTACTTTTCTTGTTGCCTGCAAATTTTCCTCCCATTCCCCTACAATTTTCACGATCTCATCCTCTATATTCTCCTTTTGCCTTTGATTTCACATTTTTGAGATTTAAACCCCATTCCCCCGTTTCCTCCATACTCTTTGACCCATCTCCCTCCATCATCCACATCTTTTGGTTCCACCACCTCTATCCTCAATTCCGGTCGGTTACTGCCTTCGTTTACCACAACTTGTTGCTCATATTTGGCAGGGTGTGTTGAACTTTAGCTCGGGTGCTCACACCACCATCCTTGTTGACCATTATTGGTCCTACTTGTTGTTCACCCTTGTCAGTGATACTGCTCGTGGGTTCACCCTGTGTGCTTTCTTGTTCTCGTGGCAGCGATTCTTGCTGGTTCTTTGAGGATTTTACAGCCTCTTGCTTCACCAATTCTGGAGTTCTAGATGGTGTGATTTTAGGTGATCGTGTTGGGAGGTGGTTCGTGAAGGGTGTTGGGAGTCTTACACATGCTTGAGCTAAAGACTCACCTAACCACTAAAACTAGTTGGTACAATTGGATTATTCCAATTGTCCATATTACATCATCAAGTACTCACTAAAGAAATAATCTGCAAAATCATCTACACATCAACACATTCGTGCCCGGCCGACTGACCCAAAAGCATCACTATTAGGGGTGGATTTTATTACTAAATTATTGTGCTAATTGAATTGTTAACCGTATCATATTGATTTTGTGTCAAATTTTTTGTGCTAATAGCTAATGGCACCGTATTGTACCGAACTAAAATTTTACGGTACAATTTTGGTATTCAATACCATTACCATGACATTACTGTACTGTTAGAAAAATATAATAATATAGAATATATAAATTATATAACATGTAATTATATAATATATATATATATATGTTTATAAAATTACCTATAATGTTTGTTTGGTTTGATTCCCCACCTGAACTAATTAACGGCAGAAACCAAAAAAAAAAAAAAAAAAAAAAAAAAAAAAAAAAAAACCGGTTCAGTAACTCAGGTTCTCTCTCTTCGAAAACTTTTCCATTCCGTCGTGGACTCCACACTCATCCATCTCTTTTAATTGATTTTGTAATTGGTCTTGTTTTAAGGTTAATTGGGTTTATGAACCTTCTCGTAATAAGGAAGGAGTAGGTGCGATCTGCATGTTGTAAGAAAAAATAATTGGGTTCACCATTGCCAAGCACTATAGACATGTCTTCAAACAAGATGATGTCAGTTACCATGCCATAACTATGTTTAATGTGATATAAATATATATGTTTGACAAAGTGCAATTACCATTATCAAACCATATTAATTGAACTATTTGGAACATACCAAATTTCGGTATACCAAAAATTTGGTACGGTAATAGTAATAAATTTTGCCATACTGAAAATTTGGTATAGTAATCAGTACGTGCGTTTTAGTACGATAAGTGTACAATCCACCCCTAGTCACTATTTCCTTTTGAATATATGAGACAGCACATTTAGCAACTGCAACCCCACTGATGTGATAACGATTCACTTTTGCAACAGTTTCTTAGCAACGCTGCATAAAAATCCTAGGCTCTTGAAGCAAAACATAGACACATACTTCCCTCTCAAACTAGCCGTCAAAATGTGCTCAATAATCGATCGGAGAAATTAAGCCTCGAATTTCATGTAAATCAAACTCATATGTTCATTCTAAAAGCGCATCAACTCAACAAAAATCTTAAATTTGAACTACGCAAGGATTTATCCACATATATGTGAGCGGCACAAACTACATCAGTTTTCTTTTATTAAGGAAATGAAGAAACAAATACATTTTTTGGTTCCCTTTACACAAGAATCCCACTAAAAGAAAGGTAATTCAAAAAATGATACGATGAGATTTACACGAAAACTATATGAAACGAAATGGGCTTGTTGATATACAATTTTCTTTATGTACTGACTTCTGTGTATAAACTTATGAAGGCAACACATTCGAGAGTAACATATAGAAAAAGTGAAAGGGAAAAACTATATTCAGCACCTTTACACCCATAGAAAGCATGGATATTCAGGTAGGCCGGTGAGCTTCAGAAAAACATCCGACTTCTAAGCTTCCGGTATAGGTGTCAGAAGGTCCTGACAAAATATAAACTGAGTTTCATAAACAAATCCCATCACCGAACAGGTAAATTTAAGCAGTTAAGGTGAAGAGTTAAGGAATTACCTCTGAAAACCGCCGATGTCCATGGTGTGTGACTGTGTGTGTGTTAGAAGTTTTAACAATTGTCTCCCATTTGGGATCAAGAGAGGAAGTCTTCGAAGGCTGACTGCTAGCATAAATCTGTGAACCAGAAGAATACTGTGAAGACAAGCTCCTCGAGGAAATACTAGGTAAGGTGCGCTTTAACCAAGACTCTGATGGAGATTTCGGTAAAGGTGGTCCAAGAGGCAGTCGTGAATTGTGGCCCTGGGCACTTTCCTGATTACCAAATTTCACAAGTCGTCGACTTTCTAAATCAATCTTTCAGGAATACCAAGAAAACCTTTTTCTTCATGATGAAAACATTCCTTTCGGTAGGGTGATATGTTACTACCCTGCTGACGCCTATGTACAGGTGACCCATCTAATTTCTCACATTCACTTATTTTGGTGATCTGGTTGGATTCACATTTCAAATCATTCTTATCTTTAGGTATCACAGCGTCCTGATGTCCATTCACTAATCTTTGTTCACAAGCATCGCCCCAAGAATGCTAAAGAAAATATGGAAACTGTTCAATAAAGATTCTTGACGTAATAATAACAAATAGAAACTGGGGGAAACACACGTAAATAAGGCAAAATACCTCATTTTTAGCTTCTCTGTAAGCACTGGCATAGGAAGATTTAGCTCGCACACTCCTAACTGAAGAAATGGGCAATTGCGCTTGCACTCTCATACCTGGAACAAGGTGCAGAAGAAAAAATAAAATTTTAAGCGAAATCAAGGAAATGACTCGCGAACGTTACCTAATAAATTTTCAGATCTTTATATAATCACCTTCATTCTCACTTTTGTCCCCAGTTATATCATTATGTGGCAAATCATTTGGCTTGTATTGATTAAGTGGATGTTGCTTATTCCAACTGGCGACCTTCATCCCTCTTGGTTGCTCTTGACAAATTGGTTGCTCTCGAGCAACTGGTTGCTTCCTGGTACCATATTGAGGTGTGTCTGAAGCCATTGCTTTTGCTGCAGGCAAGAACCGACCCATCATGAAATCACGAGTCTGTGGATCTGTCGAGAAGGTTCCAGTTGGTTTGATATCTGGATCAAACCACTTACACTACAGTTATAATAGAATGATTCACTCCTCGAAAGTGCGTCAAGTGCATCTAAATAGGTCTCATCACCATCCTCTGAATCGGAAATATCCTTATCCTCCATCCCCTCTTTAGAGCTGTCACACTTAGTAATTTCTTTTGTATCAAAGGTTGAATCATTTTTAGAATTGGAAAGTACATTTCCAGTTAGTGGGCCATCCTAGAGGATGTGTATCTCGATTTGCGTGCAAGTGGCACATACTGGAATAAACGTGTGTATCGAACTTCTAGATGACAAGAATGATAATGTGCAATGAGCATGAAGTGATTAGCTGAGGACCATATTAGAATTATTTCATAAAACTTGTATGTCTATGTGATTAGGTATTTGTTTGTCATGTTGAATCGATAGTGTGTGCATGTTTACAATTGTGGTTCATGTCGAATTAATGTATTAGCTATGATGTGGGATGATGCGACTGCACCATGTAGTAGTGTGGTACATGGATGATTCTGCCTAGTTAATCCGCATTAGGGGACCATAATCAGTCTAAGGGTGACTTCGTCTAGTTAATCCACATCGGCAAGTCATTGTTTACCTTGTTATATCACTTCCATTGGTGGTTCCGCCTATTAATCCACATTGGGGGACCACATTATTAGGGGCGTGCCTATGGTTCTACTTGGTTAATCAACATTGGGGGACCATATGCCTAGTTAATCCGCATTGGGGACCACACTATTGGCTTACCTATGATTTCTCCTTTTTAATCCGCATTGGGGAACCATACACATTTTAGGGGTGACTCCGCCTAGTGAATCCGCATTGAGTGACCATGCTATTGGATGGATTCATATCGTTCTACATAGAGTTGGATTTCGTTGAGGGTCTGTAATCCATTTCCCTAATCGGTTCCATTGAGTGGTATGGAACCATATCTTTGTTGAATTTTGTTGAGGGGTTCAGAATCCCTTCCGGATCGATTCCGTTGAGTGGTCCAGAACCATATCTTCGATGGTCATTGAGTCGTTCAAAATTCTTTCCCTAATCAATTCCGCTGAGTAGTTCAAAATCCTATTATGTTTCGGTTCTATTGAGTTGGTTTGGAACTTGATCCCTAGAAATCTTTACGGTTCTTTAAGTCAGTTTAAATGCGAAAATATATGAGCGGTAGGCTTCGGCTAAACTATGTTGCTCCAACCTTAATTTTCAGTAAGTGATGAACGAAAGATTTGATACTTTTTGTGAATTGATTTTGAAGGGACGTTGGATGTATGTGTGATTACTTAGGGATTTCTAGCTAGTTTATTTATAAATTTATGAAGTATGGATTATGAATGATTTTTATTTTGATTGGATTAGTTGATCAATATGGTTAAAGTTAAATATTGTGCATCATTTGTTCACAGGAAAGTTACATGCTATGGATTGTGGAATTGTGTTAGAAAACGTTGTGATATATGTGATCGACGAAATAACAATTCTAGTGGTCATATATTTTTGTTATGTAGTTTGAAATCTAGTGCATCATGCTTGTTGTGCTCCTTCGAGACTAGAAGCTATATGATTTATGCTAGGAAGTACTCCGAGAAATGTTGGAATTCAACAAAAGAGTAAATTATGAATGGCTTGATCCTGTTTTTGGTTACATAGGCAGTCCATGAAGGTTAGATGCAGCCATGTGATAAAAGAAAAGTTACAATATTATTGACTCGTTAGGTTGCTTTTGGTCATGTCTCGGAAGCAAGACATGATAGTTTCGCAAGTACTTTCTGACGTCATGTGCCGATTCTAGATGTATTTCGGGATCGAAGAGTGACACTTTGTTATTTTAGAGAGTCAAATCCCTAAAAACAGTTATGTGATTAGAAAAATATTCCGACAATAAAAAAAAAATGCTCTCGCAAAATTCCGGTTACATTTTCTTGCGAATGAGCTAGGTGTGCTTGGCCGACAAATATGACTTAATCCAAACAAAATGAATTGGGCTTGATACTTTTTTGTTAAAGTCGATATTTTTTCCTTAAAATCTTTATCCCCATATTGTTATTTAATCTTGATTTACCTTTGTTTCAAATTGCTATTTGTATGATTTCATATTTAAATTCTTGAATAAAGCATCTTATTGATTAAAAACACACATAATTTAACCATCAGAGATACATATGTATATCAAGCTCTATAATATAATACAACTAGCGTGCAAATCAACAAGAACATAACAACTATAAGAATGATATATTTTGCTTAAATTCTTACTGTTTCATTTTTCTGAAAACATAAATTTGACCTGCCTACTCTCTTTTTTAACAGCCTCCACCTCCTCCACCTCCACAACCGCCGCCGCCTCCACCTCCACAACCGCCGCCGACTCCACCTCCACAACCGCCGCCGACTCCACCTACACCATGTCTTCTTTTCTTGTTTGATCCATCACCACAAGCAAATATGACCATTGATACAAGTGAGAGGGACATGAGAATCATGCAGAGCAAAAGTAGCCCGCCCGAGTTGTGATCTGGCATCATGATATCTACTCCTCCTGCATGGCCACCACCCGCACCAACGTATGTTCTAGCCATTGTTTCTCAGTGAGTTGCAAATTAATTACAAGATTATACTATGTGTGTGTGTCAATATATATATATATATATATATGTATGTATGGTAGTGAAAATTCATGTATAATCTTAGTGGTGTTGACTTGAAATCATGATATTTAAAGTCTTCGGTTGAAAATTCAATAATGTTATGTTCATGAATACTTCTTAGAAGTTTCATTATTGAGAACTGACTGGATCATTGGTTATCTATAACTATAATACGTCAAAAATTCTATATATATTTTTATTTTTATTATATTTGATCTTATAAATAGTTAGGAGAAACTAAAATACTACCTCCTCCATCTACTTCTTCTTCTTCTTCTTCTTCTTCTTTTTAATCATTGTCTTCCTTTCCCACCCCTAATATCACTGATACCTTTTGTAATAAAAACACAACACCCAAGGGCTACTCGACCATGCATGGTAGGGACCCCAGCTATCTAACGATCAAATTTGGTTCAAACGTAGTTGTTCAATTTCTGGCCTGTTGGTTATCAACGGTCCAGATCAAGGTTTTGCTTGGGCAATCTTTTGAATTTGATCTAACAGTCCAAATTTTTTTTTTGAAATCCAACGGTAAAAAAAGATCTAGCGATTGAAATTTAAATTCATCAGTCCAAATAATAGAAAAAATATTTTAAAACAGATCCACTTTAAAAAAGTACATAATTTCAACTCATGATGAATCCATTTATTCCCCATTTCCTTTATTCCCCATTTCCTTCAACTCATGATGAATCCATTTATTCCCCATTTCCTTCAACTCATGATGAATCCCTTTATTCCCCATTTCCTTCACGACTCCAACTCCTGATGAATTCATTTATTCCTCATTTCATTCACGACTCCAAAGGTGGTTCGGTAGATTAATACAAAGCGTGTGATGCACATTTGGAAAGTGAATTATGTGAAGTCTAGTTTTATTGTTTTGCTTTTCTAGTCAAATGTTGTAAATTGTACCACACATGCTATAATTTGATTTAGGATTTAATTGCTATTTTGGGATCATACTGCTGGAAATATCACTTCAAGTGCTTAATTTCTTTCATCAAAGGTTTGTTAATACATACGCATTTTATGCCATTATTTTCAGTTCGTTCTGTCTAGTGGTTCTGTCTGGTCAAAACTTCTCACTGCTTTCACGCGAGTTGGGTACACACTTTAAGACAACCCACATGAGCTTTCTAATAGTCTTTTTCTCGAGAGTGGTTTTCAACCCTTGATCTTTTCAGATTGTGTTTGCATATGAGACGTGTCTCTTCTTGTCCTATTTCTTGTCTGAAACAAAGCCTACTATAAAAGCTTCATTTAGGGTTTCATTTTCAGTTGGTTAGGAGATTTATATTTTTTTTTTAAATGATTGTTTTTAGCTGGGAGCTACTTTTTTGTTCTTACTTGAAAATCGTAGCCACAAAATCATATTCATGCACTAGATACCCAGATCATTGCGTATTAGGGTTGCATTATTTTTGTAATTTTGATCTTTGTTTTAGGTTAAGTTTCTCTAGTTTCAAATTTTTGAGCTGACCTCTTTTTTGATTTCCGTCAGTTTCATCTTTCAAGTTTTTGACTGGTGAATCTGATTAGGCATCGAATCCTGATTTGCATCAACTTCATCATAACATCATTTGCATAAGTTGATTTGATTTCGGTGTCACAAGGTGAAGAGCTGAGGAGGAGCTGCCTCTTCATTGAGAGGAGTCCATCTCGTGAAAGGCAAGGTTGCACAAAGGTACAAACTGCTCTGTAGATTAGGATCTAGGAATTGAGCTTGGGGGGTTACTTTGTAAGAATATTGATTTCACTAGTGGATTGGACTTAGTGGAGAATCCTTGATTTTTTTAACCCAAAGGTGGGGTTTTCCAGCCAAAAACATCATGTGCAATTTATCGCTTTTCTGGTTTACTTATCTTACCATTTGCTTGTGTTATATGTTCGTCATTATTTGCAAAGAGATAAGTCCATGCAACTAAGATTGTCAAAGTTAAAATGTGCACTAAAATGGATCTTAGTTAACTAGGAACAATTTAGTAAACTGAGCTTTAATTTAATTCCTTCCGCTATGAGTAAACTAACATATTTGATATTAATTTATGAGTGTTGTTGACTAGTCAGACAAGCACGTATATGAATTTTAAATTGCAGGTTATTCCACCTAGTACCAATTTTAAATTCTACTATGGTAGTCTTGTATAGTTTGCCTTTTTGGTGTGTGTATATTGAAGTTTGGTTGACTGAGTTGTTGGTTGGAAAAAAAAAAATCCTTACTGAAAAAGGACTAGGGTTACAACCATTTAAAATTAATATATTTTACGTCTGACTTATTGGGTGATATTCACTGTTTAAAGACCTTAATTCTGTCTTTTAATGGACCTTAAT